AGGTATCCTCTTAGGGCAAAACTTTAGGTTATCCATGGAGGATTCTAATCGGTGAAGGGTTCTAACCAATGAGGAGTTGTGTAAATGTCGTGGAGTGGAGCTGCTAAAAGGCCAGATATGAGGGATGTTGCACTGAATAACGGTGTTATTTAATATAATTTTGAAATGATTTTTTAAAAATATTATCAACAATACCCACGAATTTTATCCATGGGTAATTCTGTCAGAAAGTTACACATAGATTATAATTTGTGGGTAAATGTTTTAGACGAGCAACTTACTGATAGATTATTGTTCATTTGTAATCCGTCGAAAATAAAGTGTTACCCACAAATTTTTTGGATTACCCACAAATTTTGGTCATCTGTAATTTCAAAATTTTTTGTAGTGAACTCGTGCTTAGTGTGGCTGAGGTCGGGAATACTTGGGATCTCATGTCTAGTGTGACAAAATGCCACAGTCGACCTTACTCCAACCTAAGACGATTCTCTCTCCTCACATCTGATTCTCCTCCTTTGGCACCTGATGCCAATTTAGGTAGAGGCAATTCTCCCACCACACGTATGGCACTGTTCAAACCACGCATGAAGCCACTTCAACTCGAAATAATTCTCTCTCCTCACGTCCAATGCCACCAATTCTACACCCAACGTAAGCAAAACATAAGCCTTGTGTTGAAGGCACACCTAGTGCAATGATGAGTTATGCATTGGTAGACTCACAAAAGCGTCTCTCATTCACCTAAAAATTAGTAAACCAAGCATGCAAAACACTAACCAAAAATTATACATCATCCTGAATTCATTTAACACCATAATTTCAACATGCAACAACAGATAGGATGAAACCATCAATTTCATACTCATATGCCCAAACACAACAAAACAATCATTCCATCTCAGATTCATTCACACCATCATGTATTTAACATCATAGAGTTAAATGCAACTCAAACTCCAACACCAATATGGGTTCTAACTTCTTTTACCTCGATTCTAAGCCAAATGAGAAAGTAGAAGAGGAAACAGAAGGGAAAATGAGCTTTGAGAAGATTCGCACCAACCCACAACCTAGATCATCGGCTATAAGCTTCAAATCAACACTCCAACAACAATCTTATGAGCTTAGGAAATCTAGAAGAAGATGAAGAAAGGTTAAAATCTCCAAAGCTCCTCCCTCTGGAACCTCCATAAAGTTCTGAAGAATATAAATTTATGAAACGTAATTCTTAACATAAAGTTTATATACTTCTCCCCTTAAGATTAAACAGGACATCAAGTTAGAGAAATTCTCTATCTTGCCTTGTACACTACGAGCTACTACCCCTAACTACTTTGCTTAAACTATGGTTGTTGCAAGGCCTCAAAACAGAGTAGATGGAGAGAATACAAGATATTGAAAATAAAGACTTTCTCATTCATTATTATTAAAAGATACAATAGTATAACTATTTATATGGAATTTTATAGCTATTTTTCTATTAATATCTCAACAGAGTAACTAATTTTATTTTATTGGATTATTATACAATAGAGAAAACCCACTGTGTGAGGTTGGTCGCTGACCAGAGGGGGACACGACATGATGAAGAAGAAAGAAGAAGAGAAACTAAGAAAGTGAAGAATACAAATGTCCCTTTTATAGGAGATGGCATTGTAGAGGAGATGAAACTATCTCTACACTCCACTCTGCAATTTTCTTATTTTGGGAACACCACTTCTTGCAAATACTTACTGTACATTCAAATCAGAGAATAAAATAAACCTCTCACCTAAACTCAAACATTTACTTCAAATATTAAACATCAAAAACACATAAAAAAAACAAAAGACTTTGCTTGACAAAAGACCATAATCACACTCCCAATAATGCTTCGTTTATGATATTTTTTTTCACTCTTACAGGTCATTTTAACACACAAGTTCCTAATACCACTATGTTAGGAATTGAGATGAACACTCATGCACACATACCCACAAAATATAGTGGAGAAAATACAAGAGATTGAGAATAAAGGCTTTCTAATTCATTATTATTAGGCTTTCTAATTTATTATTATTAAAAGATACAAGAGTACAACTATTTATATGGATTATTGTGACTATATTTTTCTATTGACATCTCAACAGAATAATCAACTCTTTTTGACTGGTTTATTATATAAAAAAGGAAACCCACTGTGTGGGGTTTTAAACCAGTGATTACAGCAATGTCCAATAACGTAGGGCAAACGAATCCACAGGGAAACTCGAAAGCTCGCGTTTCCCTATTCCAGAAGAAAATTGCAGACAAAAGCATTTGTGGGTCGAACAGATGTAAGTCAAATTTCGCAAGCTGAATGAACTCAAAGATACCAGTTTTGACCCATGAGGAACTCATTGCACTTTCCACATGAAGTAACCATTCTAAATGCCTATTTTTAACCGGGGAAAAGCCCTAAAAATCTTGGTAGTGTCTTTAAACAAAGAAAGGTCTATCGCTGGTGAATGAATAAAGGGTAAAGTGGACGAATCTTCAGGTAACAAGGTGTTGCTGAATTTCTTCTTATTTTGACCAATAAATGGCCCTAGAAAAGCATGCATATGACCATTCTCAAGGGAGAAAGGAAGAAGTACCTGAGAATTATAAATCTTGAGGTTGGCTTCCTCCATGCCAGGAATTGGTACGAAGTTCTCATTGCTCTCAAGGACAGTGCAAACTTGTGCATTGCTCATCAACAGAGGAATGGATTGAGTAGAGGTTGCAGTCATCATTACAACCTAGGATGTGGCAACGGCCAATGTAGGGGACGAAGCAGAAACCATAGCCAGATCAGAAGCAAAAGCAACGATAAGAGACACAGTGGAGGCTACGACGGCGGAAGTGGATGCAGCAGAAGAGGCCATTGAAGCACGAAAGTAAAGGAAGGGACTTGGAAAGGAGGATGAGGAAGAAAAACACTCAGAGGTTGCCGGAGAAGTAAATCAAGGAACAGGTAGGAGAGAATGCAGAGAAAGCTTGGGCGCTAAGGAAGATAATGGTGAAAGTATTTTAACCCTAAGGTAAAAATAAGATTTTGAATGTTTTTGTGGGCCTGAGACAAATGGGCTTGGCAAATAAATTCAAATAATTAATTTGAAAACTCGTAACAACCGCCAAAAGATATTTCCCCAACGACAAATTTATGGAGTAGAGTGAACACGCGCCGTCAGGGTAATCAATATCCCATCAAACGGTCTTTAGCTTTTAAAATGATGAAAAAGAAAAAAAATATTTAAAACTATCAGCTAAAAATTTAGTAATTTATTATTTTATTATAAACTAAAATAATTTTTTTAGCTTATGTGTAAAATATACAAGTTTTGATTTTAATACATGTAAAAAATAATAATTTTTTTCTATGAAATTTGAATTTATTATTTTTTGTAAGACCCGCAAGTTCTTCTTCTTCCTTTTTCCCCTCAACACTCTCATTTCCTATTCTCTTACCCTATAACTCCTGAGCGTCCTTGTGGTGTTGTTGTGGTTGAAGGTGCTGAGTAGAGGCGTGAGGAGCCAGTTGAAAGCCCGAATCTTCTATTTTGGAACCTGAAGTGAAGGAGTACAAAAAACGCAGGCAGATAACCAGTACATTAAAAAGGTGATATGTTCAGAAGTCGAAACAGGGGTTCGAGGTTGCTCTACATGGGCATTGATGAAAGCCAGATATGTCTTCTTATCCCATGTGATGGAAAGATCTTTGATCGAAATCTCGTCCTCGAAGACATCAGGATGGAATCGATCCCCTAAAGGAGTTAAACCAGTGATTACAGCAATGTCCAATAACGTAGGGCAAACGAATCCACAGGGAAACTCGAAAGCTCGCGTTTCCCTATTCCAGAAGAAAATCTCAGACAAAAGCATTTGTGGGTCGAACAGATGTAAGTCGAATTTCGCAAGCTGAATGAACTCAAAGATACCAGTTTTGACCCATGAGGAACTCATTGCATTTTCCACATGAAGTAACCATTCTAAATGCCTATTTTTAACCAAATAAAAAGGGAAATTAGTCTATGCCTCTTAGAATTACGTTGCAGCAAACCTTGGGACTCAACGTAAATTAGTAACTTTTGAAGTACATATGCATTGAAAATCAATACGTAATAATTTTTTAAGTACATATGCATTGGAAATCAATAATGACTTTTAAAGTACAGTAAATGTAAACAAGAGGAACAAATGTGTTCAATGTATTCTTAAGCAAGTTTGGCATATATAAATTACATGAAAGACTCAAATTCTCCAACACTTAGGAATTCCCTTTCCTTGTGTTGAGAATCACAGATCACCAAGGAGAATAACTCTTTTCTCCTTTTACAGATCAATGGTTGAAATGAATGAAATAGAACAACTCTCTTTGAAGAGTGGATTTTTACTCTTTGTTGATCTAGTAGAACTCTTTTACATAATGATTGCAAATGATTTTGGCCAAGTGAATGTAAAGATAATTTTTCACAATAGAGTTCGTAACATTTTTTTGAGAAATTATTGGTATTTATAGATGATTAATATTTCATAGGTTGTGACTTTTCATGAAGAGTTATGACTTTATGAAATTTTTCAGAAAATTGCCTCTGGTAATCGATTACAACTCTTGGTAATCGATTACAACGGTTTAGTTTTTAAAAGATTGGAACGTTGTGAGGTTTAAATTCAAATTTTGAAAAATTATCTTATGGTAATCGATTACAGGTAATGGGTAATCGATTACCAGAGCACTTTTTAAGTGAATTTCAAACATATGAGTTTCATCCTCTGGTAATCGATTACATGTACTGGTAATCAATTACCAGACTGTTAAAAACAATGGTTTCCTCATTAAAAACTTAAGATACAAAACTTTATATTTTCAAAACCTTATTTTTACAAATATAACAAAAATTATATTTAAGTTTTGTTTGAAATTCTTTATTTTAAATGGCCAAGAATCTTTATGCAATAATTCTAAAGAATTCTTTTTACATTTATAAAGCTAGATTGATAACACTTATCTAACACACTTTGAGACTTTTGTTTATTGAACACCTTGCTTTATCTTGACCTTTTGTTTTCTTCAATTTGTTTGGCATCATCAAAATCTTTTACATGCGTTCTTCCACACTTAAGATTGCTACTACTCCTCTACTCTTATAGTATAAATTAATTCTTTAAATTAAAGGGGTGAAATAACATATATATTATCTACAATTACCCAAAAAGAGTGCCAAAAGTTGAGTGCAAATCATGCATAAAAGGCACTCAACAGTAGCTTCACGTTAAACGTGATTTTTCACGTTTAAAACGTGAAAGTAAACACGCTGTAAGTAGATTTTTCAATCTGAAATGTATTTTGCTCGTTTACTCCAGAAGATTCTGTCTGCCACGATGTAGTATCTGAATCTGCAAAGCTTGGCTTCCTAGACTCCAGGTTTTGGAAGGGAAATGGAGGTGGAGAAATTTCAATTTCACCCTCTAACATCTTCACCACAGTACTCATAAGAGGTCTATCATTTGGTGAATACTGAACACACCATAGAGCCACCTTTGACATTCTTTCGGCTTTCTCCTTGTCTTTCTCTTCAATTCCACAAAGTGAAAGCATTACAGACAATTCATTATTCTCAAACTTATTCCATGTCCATTTTGGAAACCATTGTTGCGATTCATTGCAGTTGTCATCAAAATGCCTTCTCCTCCCTATAATTTCAAAGAGAAGAATACCAAAACTATAAACATCACACTTGTGAGTCACCGGATAAGGCTTCCACATTTCAGGAGCAGCGTATCCCACTGTTCCTCTAAAGTTTGTATTGACTGAAACATTACTTCCTCTGCTACAAAGCTTTGCCAGGCCAAAATCTGCTACCTTCGGTCCCAAGTTCAAATCAAGAAGAACATTCTCAGGTTTAATATCATAATGAATTATCCTTTGTTGACATTCCTCATGTAAATAAGCAATTCCTTTTGCTGTTCCAATTGCAATCTCATGAAGTTTCCCCAACTCGATGTCTTGGTTCTGGCTTCCAAACAAGTACTTGCTGAGAGAACCATTTTCCACAAACTCATAAACAAGAGCTCGCTTGTCCCAGTGGAAGCAAAAGCCATAAAGCCGAACTAGATTGACATGGTAAGTTCTTCCAATGGTGCCAATTTCTGCTTTGAGTTGCTCTTCCATTGCTATATCCAAACTATTGATAACTTTGACAGCCACGTATTCTCCGTTGGACAATTCCCCTTTGTAGCCAACCCCAAAAGCACCAGAACCCACTATGGTTGAGTAATTCCATGTAATTACCTCAAGTTGTTCAGGAGAGAATCTGATGGGGTTCTCCTTGTTGATGTTGCTTAGGAATCTTTCCATTGTTGCAAACTCAGCTTTTGAACCTTGAATCGTGGAATCTGGAGGTATCACTAATTCAATTTCACTAGTTGAAGGATATGACTTTGAAGCATTATAAGCCTTTTCTGTACTTGGAAGCTGGGAATATGCAGGAGTTGTTTCTCCTGCCTTCTTCAAGCACTGAATTATGGCATATACTATAGCTATAATTGCTATTACTACCACCAATCCAAAAACTGAAAATTGAAATAGAACATAATTAAGAGATTTATATTTTCTAATAGAAAGATTAACATGTAACAACATATTTATCATGAAACTATATACTTCTTCAGTTTTACCAGCACTTTGCCATGATAATTTTATATCAACCATTTCACCATTGAGTGTATAATTATACCTTGATACAAAACTAATCAATATAAAATTGCTAGGCTGTTGATTTCGATTGAAATTCTGGTAAGATACACACAAATGTCAAGTCTCAACCAATTATTTTTCTAACACATAATTATCAGGTCAAATTTTATTATAAGGGTACCCAAAAATCTAAGAAGAAACCAATAATTGTTATAGGTGTGTGAAATAAAAATATATATAGATATATTCCAAGCATGCATAGACCCAAGAAGGTTTAGTTCTGCTTACCAATAGATGCTATTACTGCCAATTTCATAGTAGAATCAAGACTTTGATTAAATTTATCAGGAGTGTTAAACCCATAAGGCTGACCCTGGTAATCAGAAGTATCAGGGTCAAAAGTATCATATGAAGTATCAAACGACGGAGGTGAAAATCGAAAACTCATGCTTGTTGTCTAAGCTCGTGAATAAAAGCCTATGTGCCACAAAACGTGTTTATAATTATGCCTAGTTTAGATTAGCTTATAGCATATGGGAGCTTTTCGATTATAAAACACTAATGTTAAGACTTATATATAGAGAAGTTCGGTGCGCAACTTCTAAAAAAGTTGAGGTGCTTGAGCAAGAACTTTGATTCATTTTTCCTCCTTAATCCATTCTGTTTTCTTCCAAATTGGCTCCTAATCACTAAAAAAGGAATGGAGAAGTACCCATCTAGTGTGACGATTGGACCAACTGTTTCTTTATCCTTGCCTAAAAATTGGGCACAACGTTTCTGACGATAATAGGAATAAATCAATATGTCAAAATAATTACTATAAAAATCAATAATCTTATTTTATTTATTAAATAATATTCTCAGTTCTTTTAGCAAAAGTTAAAAAAGTTTGTTCCATTTTCGATTGTTGTTAAACGTATTTTAGTATTTTTTCTCATATATATATAGTTCAAATGTAGTTAACTTTCTTTGCCTTTCTCTTATTATATTTTCTCTCAATTTCAACATTTATTTTTCTTTTCCTAATTATAGAGAAAACCTTCCGGTCAAAAATCAATTAAAAAAACAAATGTGAAGAATTCATATGCTAGATCCATATCTGGACTCAATAAGGTCCTATATCCAAAACAAACTGTTCCTATTCGAAGAATAATGAAAGATGATCTCATTGGAAGAGATCTACACATGCACACCTGCATCGTAGATTAGCTTATAGCATATATAATTATGCCTAGTTTAGATTAGCTTATAGCATATGGGAGCTTTTCGATTATAACACTAATGTTAAGACTTATATATGGAGAAGTTAGGTGCGCAAAAGTTGAGGTGCTTGAGCAAGAACTTTGATTCATTTTTCCTCCTTCATCCATTCTGTTTTCTTCCAAATTGGCTCCTAATCACTAAAAAAGGAATGGAGAAGTACCCATCTAGTGTGACGATTGGACCAACTGTTTCTTTATCCTTGCCTAAAAATTGGGCACAACGTTTCTGACGATAATAGGAATAAATCAATATGTCAAAATAATTACTATAAAAATCAATAATCTTATTTTATTTATTAAATAATATTCTCAGTTCTTTTAGCAAAAGTTAAAAAAGTTTGTTCCATTTTCGATTGTTGTTAAACGTATTTTAGTATTTTTTCTCATATATATATAGTTCAAATGTAGTTAACTTTCTTTGCCTTTCTCTTATTATATTTTCTCTCAATTTCAACATTTATTTTTCTTTTCCTAATTATAGAGAAAACCTTCCGGTCAAAAATCAATTAAAAAAACAAATGTGAAGAATTCATATGCTAGATCCATATCTGGACTCAATAAGGTCCTATATCCAAAACAAACTGTTCCTATTCGAAGAATAATGAAAGATGATCTCATTGGAAGAGATCTACACATGCACACCTGCATCGTAGATTAGCTTATAGCATATATAATTATGCCTAGTTTAGATTAGCTTATAGCATATGGGAGCTTTTCGATTATAACACTAATGTTAAGACTTATATATGGAGAAGTTAGGTGCGCAAAAGTTGAGGTGCTTGAGCAAGAACTTTGATTCATTTTTCCTCCTTCATCCATTCTGTTTTCTTCCAAATTGGCTCCTAATCACTAAAAAAGGAATGGAGAAGTACCCATCTAGTGTGACGATTGGACCAACTGTTTCTTTATCCTTGCCTAAAAATTGGGCACAACGTTTCTGACGATAATAGGAATAAATCAATATTTATTTATCAAAAATAATTTACAGATATTTCTTAAAAAAATTTATGAAAAAAAATTTATAAGAAATTTTTGCAAATTTAGCTACAGTTTTAATGATCATAGAAATTTTTTTATGGTAAAAATTTACAGAAAATATTGTAAGAATTTTATTTTATTTTTTTTTACAGATTTTCTTGTAAAAATAAATTTTCCAATAACGTTTTATTAAATGGTAGAAAAATTTCGCAAGTAACTTTTCCTGCAAATTTTTCTGCCAATTTTAATCTATAGAAAAAATTAAAAAAAAATATATTTAAATTAATAAGTTTAATATTTTTAAAAAAATTTCAAGTGTCACATCGATTAAAAATAAAACAATTAAAGAATATATAAATTGGGACAACACTTACCTTACAAGTTAATTTGTATTGTTAATCAGTGTTAGGCTTATAATCTACAATTTTATAGTTTCTTGGGAAAAAATTCTCTGGAAACTTTTCTGCAAAATTTTTTTTGTAGGTAAATTCCTTGCGAATTTTAAAATTCGCAAAAACATATTATCCACAAAAATAATACCTACAGATAAAATTTCACAGAAAAATTCGTAGGAATAATGTTTGTTGTGGATTTTAACACAAAATTCACAAGAAAAATCGCATGTAATAAGAGAAATTCTTGTAGTGGTTGCGTAGGAAGTTTCTCATTCTTCTCTTCTCTTCATTCTTTGGAGCTTAGGAAAATAGGTTAGAAAATATTAATTGTTACATTAAAAATTCATCTAAAATATTTATATTAATTTTTTATGCCATATTTATATTACTTCATATTTCACATAAAAATTATGGTAATAATAACAAATATTTATATAAAATATTAAAATTGTTAATAAATTGAATACGTAAAAACACTGGTAAAAGAATTCTCCATATAAATTTATAACGTAATATTAATAATTATTAAATAAATATTTATATAAAGTATTAAAATTGTTAATAAAATTA